CAAGTAATATACTAAAGAATTATTACAAAGTGTTAACATTCATACACCACACCCACAATGTTCCATCTGGTTAATCATTAAACCTGTTCTTGCCCATATCTTGATTGACACATACCTTTATATTTATGTTTAAACTCATCAATTCTATTACTATTTTTTATGTCTACACTTAAATTATTCCATAGTTTTACCCCACTTATGGAAATACAGAATCTTTTTTTGGTTGTACGTATAGCATGAATTTTATAATTTAACTGACCCCTTAAATTGTATCCCCCTTCCCTTTCATTAAATAGTTTTTGAATTCCACCAGGTAATAAATTGTTCCTGGCTTTATACATAAACACTGTAGTCTTATATCCCACTAAAACGAAAAAATTTTAACAATTTAGACTGTATGAAAGCTCCATTGGTGTGATCCCTGTATTCCATCTTATGCACAATTCTTATCGCTCTTTTTTGTAATATATACAATGGTTGAAGTGAGCTTTTGTATGTATTTCCCCAGTTTTCAATGCCATACTCTTAAGTATGGTAAAATCAATGAAGAATACAAAATGCGTAGTGCTTTCTCGTCCAAAATATATCTAACCCTTGCGCTATGTCCCATCCGCCACCAGTTTGGTGCTGGGACCCACAACCTTCGCTGTGGCCCACATCACCGACCCGCTGTCCAGCTTTGGTCTGCTGCTCACTGATGGGACCCTGGAGCATATTGTTGCAATGACCAATCTGCACGGGAGATGCTCAGTGGGTGAGTGGCGTGATTTAGATAGGGTTTAACTGCAGGCTTATGTGGGGCTTTTAATTTTGACCGGGGTATACAGGTCCAGAGGCGAATCAACCCTCAGCCTGTGAAATGACAAAACCAGACAGACCATTTTCAAAGTGACCATGTCCCACAAGCGGTTTCATCAGATCTGCAGACCCCTGTGCTTCAATGACAGACTGACCCGACCCCGGCTCAGCAGCGATGACAAGCTGGCAGCATTCCGCCAGGTATGGGATATGTGGATGCGGCAGCTCCTGATGTTGTTCAACCCAGACAGAGACATCTGTATTAATGAGCAACTAGTACCTTTCAGAGGGAGATGCTAGTTTAGGCAATACATGCCGAAAAATCCGGTTAAATATGGACTGAAGAATTGGGTAATGTGATGCGAAAACATCCTACACCTGGAAACTACAGGTATTTTTCCACTGATCCTATTTATTTTATTTTAGCTATTTATTGTGATTTTATTCTACGCATGTAAAATACTTTGGTCATCTGGATGTTGACTTGATTTGATTTGATTTAATTTGATTTAGGTATACACAGGCAAGCCGTGCCTAGTAGGCTAGTGGTTAAGGTGCAGCGCTCTCACAGCTGTAACCCGGGTTCGAGTCAGAGTTGCATCAGGAAGGGCATCCGGTGTAAAACACGTGCCAAATGTCATCAGTGTGACAATTCGCTGTGGCGACCCCCAAACGGGAAAAGCCAAAAGTAACTTTCTTATATACAGGCAAAACAGCCGGCACTCCCGAGATCAACCAGGGGAAGCAGGTAGTCCTGGAGCTAATGGAGGGGCTCCAAGGACACACTGTCACCTGCAACAACTTCTTCACTTCGTTTGGACTGGCAGAGGAGCTGTTGAAGATCTCCCTGGTCGGCACCATCTGGAGGAACAAACCTGAGTTTTCTCTTCAGTTGCTCCAGACAAGAGGGAGAGCGGTGCATTCCTCAACATTTGCCTTCACAAGGACCCACACCGTTGTGTCGTACATCCCCTGACGATCCTGGAATGTGCTCCTCCCTGAGCACAAAGCACTGCGCCCCACATTTCAGCGAGGAACTGAAGAGGATGCCCATAATCACCCAGGATTACAACAGATGCAAGGGATGAGTTGACAACCTGGATAAGTGCCATTATGCATCAGTTACGCACACATTTATTTATTCTTACTCTTATGTTCTTGTCTAAATATATGTAGATTCTTTTTTCAAACGAGCATTTACATATAAAATGTGTATCATGAGAAAGAATACTTGGATCATTTATTCATATTGTCTTGTTTTATGTTTGTGGGTTTTTGTTAGGTCATCAGCACGCACTCCTATTGGAGGAGAGCAAACCGGTGGCCGCTTGCTCTATTCCATAATCTGCTGGACATCTCCCTTTATAATGCCTTCATCCTGTGGACAGCAGTCGAGCCGGCCTGGAAAGAAGTCACACAGGAGGAGGCTCTTCATTGAAGAAGTCAGAGAAGGGCTGGTGACACCCCATATCAAGCGGCAAGTGCCCCGCCCCTGCTCAGCAGCTGCTGGAAGTGTGGTGGCCAACCTGCAGGGTGCTGCTGCTGCAGGCCCTCCTCACAGCAAACCCAAGGGCAAAAAGCCATGTTTCTTTTGTAAAGACAAGAGAAAAGCAGGAAATGTATGCTGCAAATGTGAGCGGTTCCTGTGCAAGGTTCAGAAGTGTGAAATGCAGGACTCCTAAACAGCTGAGGCGTTTAAGGGGGTGGCTGTGGCTCATGAGGTAGGGCAGTCGTCTCCTGACCAGCAAGTTGGTGGTTCGACTCCCGGTCTCCCCGCATGCCTAAGTGCCCCCGGGGAAAGACACTGAACCCCAAATAGCTTCCAGTGGCTTGACTAGTGCCATTGTGTGGTAGCCTGTCATCATCGGTATGTGAATGGTGTATTATCTCCTGTAAAGTGGTTTTGTCCCATACAGCATACATTCTCTGTTATATTCTTATATATTATTTTTTATTATATTGCTGCATTTGCTGCTTAAAGTGCCTTAAATTATCTGTTACTTATTTATCTACTTTATATTTCATTTGTATTTTGTGGCATTCATGTGGACGGCAAAGTAAGAATTTCATTGTACAGGGAAACACGTTTCCTAACTGTGCATATGACAAATAAACACTTTGACTTATGTGATCCTTGGGACAAATTTGTCCTGAGGGTAATCAGTGTACAGTGATATTGAACATCCTCTGAGGGTTAACCCTGTCGCCTCCTCAGTCTAATCTTTTGTCAGAACTGCACCCAATCCATGGACCAGGAAACACAGTAACTCAAGAGGAAATTTACACATATTAACAATTCAAAATTAACCAACGTGTATGCTCATTGATCAATTATGTATGTCCAATGTCAAACAATACCTAACCTCTACCTACAACTTAAAACTACGCACCTAAATAAATAAAACTAAAGATTACCAAACCAATTCTACTGCTGGTGGTGTTGGTTTAGGCCCTCACACGGTGAAGGCCAGGGCAGGGCAGAGGCCTTCACATTCTTCTTCTCCCTTTCTTGCCCTTCATAGACTGCATAAGTTGGAAATACCCACACTTCACACCCTAACACACTACAACCATGTAAAACCCTCTACATTTACATCTCTTTGTAATGTCATGTATCTGTTGTCTCATCTTCCATGTCTGGACCTGTTTTGTTAATGTGTTATTTTGTTTCAATAAAAAAAAAAAAAAAAACTTTTTACCGGGCACTGACCATCTGACCTAATAGCCACTTTTGATCATATGCTGATCCATTTTAAAGACATTTAAGGGGGTCAGGTACTTTTTAGTTGCTTTGAATTTCCATCCTCCAGATGAAGGACAGCACATTTCATAATATGTCATCCCACCTTGTCTCCACCTTTGTTGGTACTTTCATTCATGCATTTCTCTCTGAACTCTCCCCTACTAGGGCTCTCTTGACCGCTTTTTAGGCCTCCTTCATTAATTTTTTAAGGGACAGTGGTTGAAGCACAAAGTCAGTCAGTATGTAGGATTTTCACATCCCTTGACATAGCCTTAAAACTAATATTTTCCCCTGCTTTGACATGTTTCTGCATAAAGCAAAGTGGTGGGGCCAAGGAACCTGATGACTTGAAGACCCGAGGAAGGTTTTTTGATAAGTATTGTGTGTACAACAAGAACCCAGTCATCGAATACAACAATTTAGTCTGCTTTTTATATTAGCTGCACATGACAGCTAACGTACAGTATGGGTAAAGTCAGGGAAAGAAGGTGGTTAGAGCAAATAAAATATACTAAGGGGATGGTTATAATTAGGCATCTAAAACACTTGGTTATGGATGGTGACAACTGTAGCTGAAAGCAAACATTAACTGCTATTTGAGATGGCACATGAAGTCCAGTTTCCTGCTTCAAAGTTAGACTTGCTATACTTGCTGTACGTCATGCACTGGCACTGAATGTTGCTATCACACATTTATTGCTAGGCACTGAATCATCCATGGACATAGTTCTTAGTATATTGGGCAGTGCAAAATCATAGCATGAAAAATGCATTTATTCATGTCAGTTTATCCTTGTAATTTTCCTTTAGACCAAAAATTTGAGGACAGCATCACTAACTACAAGACATTTTCTGCTACCTGCTGCTTTTGTTATTACCTGATAGTAGAGTTGATATCAGATGCGGCAGAGGACACAGTACTCATTCCCGCTTCGCTCCTGAATGAGCTCTGTTTAGACCTCTGTGAGGCCAGAGAGCTCCTGGACTCTGACTTCCTCAGCTTGAGTCCAGACAGGATAGACCTCCTGAACAGCCCGCCTTCTTTCCCTTCAGCAGCTCAGCCTCACTGTGTGCGGTCAGCACAAAACCTCCACGAGACACTGCGGGGCTGCTGCCGCTGCTGCCTGTGCTGCATATGGAGATGCTGGTGGTCAGAGTGCCAGGAACAGGAGGAGGACCAGGAACAACCACTCCAGACCGGTCTAGCAGAGCTGTACCATTGCTGTGCTCTGAACTGGAGCGGAGGGAGTTTATGGAGGTACGGAGTGGGGAGCGAATGACGGCCGCCATACCATATGGCACACTCTGACGAACTCCATAGCCATGCCGCATCCCGCCAACCCACTGGCCCTGAAATGTTCCTAGAGAAAGAGAAGAACAAATTTAATACAAATTCTACACACACACATGACAATTGGAAAAATAAAAGGTTTATGCACTTTGATACAGCTCAGCAGCAAGTGACTATGGAGAGATTTTAAGTGTTTGGAAACACAAAGGGAGACCCATACTCCAACACAGCCAGGGGCCTGTATTCAGGGGCATATCTAGAAAGTTCTGGACAAGGTGGCTAGGCTGGGGCACAGACTCAGAGAGAGGTGGCACAATTGAAATATATGTAAAAAGTAAATTAAGCCCCTAGTTCTATGAAATAATAAACCATACATTATTAAGAATCAAATTGTTTATTATGTGTAAAAATGACACACAAACAGTGCTTTCTTTACCTAACTTTGGCTGCACATCTTGTTTACTTCTGGCTGGGGACATTGCTGCTGCACAATGGTCCCCCCAAACC